AAAAATGCACTTGCGTGGTTTCGCCAGTGGCTCTGCGCTGTGCGTGGTTTCGCCAGCGGCTCTGCGTTGTGCGTGGTTTCGCCAGCGGCGCTTCGCGGTGCGTGCTTTCGCCAGCGGCTGAGCTTCGTGCGTGCTTTGCATTAGGGGCAAGCGATTTAATAGAGGTTGTCAATGTTAACGAGTGTGTTGTTGACCAGGTTAAGATGAATGGTTGTCAGCAGGATGACGAACATTTCTGGTATGAATCTGTGTGTATAAACAATCTAAAGACAGTAGCAAAATTAGATGGGGGATCAAGTGCCAATATAATACCAGAATCCACTTATGAGAAAATGGTACCTAAACCAGAAATGAACAGTGAGTGTAATTTAGTGTTGAAGGCTTTTAATAATACTTTAACTAAACCTGCAGGTGTAGTTCATATTGAAGTGTGTGCTAGAAATGTAGTAATTAAGCGAGATTTTGTTGTGGTAAAAGGTGATGTTCAGGTATTGCTCAGCAAGGAAACATCAGAGGCATTGAAATTAGTACAGAGAATACCAGTAAGTGCGGTGCAGAAGGTAACGCCTGTCCCCTCAACTCAAGTTCCTCCCATAAATGATCAGGAGGACAAAATGCCTGGTGACTTCAATCAGAAAATGCCAGTCGAAGAAAACGCAATTAAGTTTGTCCAAGAAAATATGGATGTATTCACTGGAGTCGGAAAGGTACCCCAGAAAGCTAGCATAAAACTAAGTGATAAGGCTGAACCAAATGTGTTCATTCCCCACAGAGTTCCATACCATCTTCAGACTAGGTTAAAAGAACTTCTGGAGAAGTTATGCTCGTTAGGAATAATTAAAAAAGTAAATGAAGCAACAGAATGGGTTCATAATCTAGTCATAGCTGAGAAACCCAATGGTGATATAAGAATTTGTTTGGACCCTAAAGAAATGAATAAATTCATTGTGAGGTTGGTACATTTAATTCCAACGGTAGAAGATGTGGCAGTAAAAATTAACTGTAAGAAGTACTACAGCGTTCTGGATTTTAAGGACGGATTTTGGCAATTTGAACTAGATGACCAGTCAAGTAAATTGTGTACATTTTCCAGTCCATTTGGATGTTACCGATTTACACGAATGCCCTTTGGAATTAGTAATGCTCCAGAATTATGTCAGAAAATCAATGAAGAAAACTTTGGAGATATTCCAGGTACATGCATTGTAATAGATGATTTAATAGTTGCTGCAGATACTCTAGAGGAACATGATATGATAATGCAAAAGGTGTTAGCTAGAGCAAGAGAGCTCAACGTTAAGTTTAATGCAAGTAAAGTCCAATACAGAGTTAAGAAAGTGAAATATTTGGGACTTATATTTTCCTAGGAAGGTATGGGACCAGACCCAGAAAGAGTGTTGGCTGTAACAGCCATTAAATCACCAGAGAATGTAAATGCACTCCAGAGTGTGTTTAACTATGTGAGACCTTTTATCCCAAACATGTCATCTATAGTAGAACCACTTCGGAAATTGCTTTGTAAAGAGTCCCCTTGGATATGGATGCCAGCTCATGAAAATGCACTTCGAGAACTAAAAGACAAAATAAGTAAAGCACCAGTGCTGGGGACATATGACCCAAAGAAGGAAGTGACAATTCAATGTGATGCATCACAATCTGGACTTGGAGCATGTATGTTACAAGAAGGTAGACCTATAGCCTTTGCCTCACGTAGCTTGTCAGAATGTGAAAAACAGTACGCCCAAATAGAGAAAGAATTACTGGCTATTGTCTTCAGCTGCAAAAAGTTTCATCAATACTTGTATGGTCAACCAAAAATAATAGTGCATACAGATCATAAGCCTTTAGTCTCTATTTTTAATAAACAAATGTGTCAGATAGCATCTAAACGATTACAAGCACTAAGATTGAAAGTCATAATGTATAATCTAGCTGTAAGCCACGTCCCTGGTAAAGAGATGTATGTAGCAGATTTATTGTCAAGACAATATTTACCTATTAGTACCCCAAATAGTGACAGTGATATTAGTGTTTGTGTACACTCTATAATTAAGGAAGTGCCTGCCAGCCAAAGAGCAATAGATAAAATTAGACTAGAAACTGCCAAAGACAAGACCTTAGCCACAGTACACTGTTATTCAACGAATGTGACGTCACATTCCTTGAATAACAGTGTAGTCTTATTGTGTAAAAATGGATGGCCAGACCACAAAAAGGATGTTGATGATTCTGTCAAAGTGTACTTTAAATTCCAGGATGTATTATGTGTGGAAGACGGAGTTTTGTTGCTCAACAAAAGAATTGTTGTACCTTCAAGTATGAGAGACCAAATGTTGGATCTAGTGCATAAAGCCCATTTGAGGGTAGATAAAACTGTAAGTAGACCCCTAATGCAAAACACGCACGAAGCTCAGCCGCTGGCGAAAGCACGCACGGCGAAGCGCCGCTGGCGAAACCACGCACAGCGCAGAGCCACTGGCGAAACCACGCAAGTGCATTTTTTGGTCATTTTTGGAGACATATACCGTTGGAAAGAGGAAATCATGCTCTTTCAGAATATATAGATATCTCAATTTTTTTGAAAAATGCACTTGCGTGGTTTCGCCAGTGGCTCTGCGCTGTGCGTGGTTTCGCCAGCGGCGCTGCGCTGTGCGTCGTTTCACCAGCGGCGCTCCGCGGTGCGTGCTTTCGCCAGCGGCTGAGCTTCGTGCGTGCTTTGCATTAGGGGCAAGCGATTTAATAGAGGTTGTCAATGTTAACGAGTGTGTTGTTGACCAGGTTAAGATGAATGGTTGTCAGCAGGATGACGAACATTTCTGGTATGAATCTGTGTGTATAAACAATCTAAAGACAGTAGCAAAATTAGATGGGGGATCAAGTGCCAATATAATACCAGAATCCACTTATGAGAAAATGGTACCTAAACCAGAAATGAACAGTGAGTGTAATTTAGTGTTGAAGGCTTTTAATAATACTTTAACTAAACCTGCAGGTGTAGTTCATATTGAAGTGTGTGCTAGAAATGTAGTAATTAAGCGAGATTTTGTTGTGGTAAAAGGTGATGTTCAGGTATTGCTCAGCAAGGAAACATCAGAGGCATTGAAATTAGTACAGAGAATACCAGTAAGTGCGGTGCAGAAGGTAACGCCTGTCCCCTCAACTCAAGTTCCTCCCATAAATGATCAGGAGGACAAAATGCCTGGTGACTTCAATCAGAAAATGCCAGTCGAAGAAAACGCAATTAAGTTTGTCCAAGAAAATATGGATGTATTCACTGGAGTCGGAAAGGTACCCCAGAAAGCTAGCATAAAACTAAGTGATAAGGCTGAACCAAATGTGTTCATTCCCCACAGAGTTCCATACTAAACGGGAAACCAGAGTCACTCGGTGAGCATTGTATCCAAAATAACCTCCAAAAGAAAGGTCGATGGTGATCCACAGCACTTACCTTGCCGCATCTTTTCCGCCGTAACGCTGTCCACCATTATCTTAAAACACGTATCTTTAATATAGATACAAAATTCTTCTTCATCCGTGGTATCCATTTTCACTCAAACCTTGCCTTGTCTCTTGACTTCACCCGAGACCTAAACCGTACTGGCGAGAGCGGGAACGAAAATTCCAAAATATAACTCGCGCTTCTCGCGATGCGGATGCGATACAACGGTGATGTTCAGCTGTTACAGCACGGCCTTTTAGCTAAAGCGGAGCGGTCGCCGGTCAGCCGCGGTCGGCCGCGGTCGGTCGGTTGGGTGGGTGGGTGGGTGGGTGGGTGGGTGAGTGCGGTTTGACGTACCCCCAGCCTGCTGCAACACTACCACCTGCCCCGTCCCCCTCAGCTGCTAATTGGAATGTGACAGCACTTTCAAGTAAATAATACAGATTAGCACCAACTGTTTAGAAATGAGAGTTGAACTATCTTTTCTGTCATGTCAGAGGTATTAACCTTGTAGTATAATTTTTTTCTTCTAATTTTTAACAGCACTTCAAGACAGAACACCCAACCGAGCTGAATCTGCTCCTGTCTGCTCCCCATCAGCAGGTCAGTGGGACGTGGAAGTGAGAGTACCTACTCCCTCCAAGATGCCAGTGAGACGAGCCCTCTTTCAAATGACAAATGGTTAGTACGTTTTTCACCTGTGACCACACAAGTGTTCTAAATGTGTGTCAAGGTTTCTAAATAGAAAAGCCTGGACTATTTTGCTTCCATTTCCTTAAGTGTTTCACATAAATCTAATTTTTCAACATTACATATAATTATTTTTTTTGCTAGATGTATTTGGGTTTATGTTGGGACTTATCATATTGTTATTATTAATT